AGTCGCCGGTGATTGTACAGTAGACTACCCTGACGCAGTGCTTATTCCACTGCAGCGCTGCATTGCAACCAGCCTCGTCATTGCTCTGTTGTTTCTGCGAATAATCGGCTAAGAAACCAAAGCCCTGGCAGTAGCGAGTGTGTAATGGAGCAGGGCAGAGCGAGCTGCCCCCTATTAAAGAATAAAGCAGATTCTTGTATAAAAATGCATGCTGAGTCAACCAGTATAAAAATGAGTATTGTTTAGTGGCAATCATTTCCCTGTTACAGTTGAACTTGATCGCCCTTTGTGCTTTGTCACATCGTGCTTCCCTCTTGCTCAGAGCAAGTGGTTTTCCATGTCTGTCTGAGCTCGTGGCCACCATGAAAAGGCATCGGTTACAAAAAGGTGGAAAGACCGCTTCCAGTTGTGTCCTGTTGTAAGCCCATTGCATTTCTAGGAAACAAGTCCCAGCGTTAGATGTGCTGGGCAGACCTGTGGTAGCCGGGTGTGACTCACGCTGTGCCCATCTGTCCCAGGACGTTTGTGGGCAGGGCCCGGGCCTGGCTCTGCCTGGCGCTCATGCAGAAGAAAATGGCCGACTACCTGAAGGCTCTGCTGGATCACAAGGACCTCCTGAGGTGAGCCCAGTCTCAGAATTAGTTCAGATTTCTGCTCCTTATCTTTAAAGGGGAACTGCAGTCCCAATTTCTCAGATGGGTTATTAGAGGTTGGTAACAAAATGAATCCATTGACATTATTTTTAAAAAAATCACAAATTTGTTCTTACTTCAGAATTCATAAACTTTGTGAAAGTACTGTAAGTCGCCATGTTGTCACAAACTCGTCTTCGAGTTCCCACGAATTGCGGCGTGAGGCAGCCCTTCCTGCTCACTAGTCTCTGCGATGACTAATGTACTGAGATGTACGGGTGAATAAGTACAGGTTGTGCAGCAGATATTTCACTGCAGAAATGTTCCAACGTGATCTGTATGCAGAGTTGGACGTTAATAGAAAAGCAGGAAATACTGAAGTAAGTAGTATTTGTCAGCAAAACCGCCTTGTTTACAATGTAATAAGGCTGAGTCACATCACCAGAAGATTTGTTGCCTCATTCTAAATCGCAGCACATGGCGCTGCGCATATCTGGAAATTTGGTCTATATTGTGATGTAAGTTGGAGTTTAACATGCAATTGTGTACATTTCACTTTCATTGCGGTCTGAAATGCACTCATCAGTGCCGATTCAGTCTAACCCTGAAATATAAAAATAGCCTTGCAGTTCCAGTCCTGAGACGTCCAGCCAGTCTGTTTGTGCTGGCGCAGTGCGCCGGTGTGTCTGTAGGGGCAGGAGAAGGGCTCTCAGGGCTGCGTGTGTGTGTGTCTGTGCAGCGAGTTCTACGAGCCCGGCGCACTGCTGCTGGAGGAGGAGGGCTCGGTGATCGTGGGGATGCTGGTGGGGCTCAACGTCATCGACGCCAACCTCTGCCTGAAGGGGGAGGACCTGGACTCGCAGGTGCGCTTGCTTCCTGGGCCACAGGGCTCTTTCTTACGGGTCCTGCCCAAACTCCCAGCCTCTCTCCTTGGTCCCCCCTGCCTGTGGGGACCTTAACCTCCCGAAACGCGTAC